GACATTTATTCTGATCTTCAGGTCTCTATAGCATCAGAAAAAATTATGTGGTCCCTTTGAGGATATAATATGCTCCAGATGCTTTTCATAATTTTATATTAAATCTCTTTACCAATTAATTTTAAACTATGATCAAGATAAAGCGAGACCTGCGAGTTAAAATCAGCCACAGCACAACTAGTGGGAGTGAACATTAGGTTTTATTCGGCACTGTATCATTCATATATTTGTATAAAAGTTTCCATTGCCTTTTTGGTGAGTGCAAGATGAACATGATCATCAGAACAACTGAAAACATTGGCCTTAGTACGATATATGCGACAGCCAGCACTACTGACTCTCAACTCTTTTTAACAATGGATCAAGTTAGATATCAAACAAAATTTGACTGAGAACCGCACCTTGTAATACCATTATTTAGAGAAAATTTTTCGCAGTGACCGTTACTCCCTTTCACAGCAACTTTCAATACCCGATAAGAAATATATAAATATCTAGCGATGATAAGGCATACATTTCTCCTAAACTCGTCTTTAAAAAAATCGGTGTGTGATCAACTTTGTCAAAAGTTTTGAACGTATCCAGAAAGAGAAATAGAGCAATTTATTGTTCTATCTTGTTCACTACAACCTTGTGAGTTTTACTAGTTTACTTAATAGTTTACTAAATAGTAGTACTAAATAGTTTCCGCCAGCACGAGACTACATATCGCTGAGGAGTAACCAGTATGCGTAGGTCAAAAAACATATAATCAAATACTTTGTTTAATAGTGAGTTCAGGGCAACAGCTCCGTAGTTACTAGAGGAGAACACAGAAGCTCGAGAGTTTTTTGGAATTTGAACAAGTGCTGAGGAGTTTGTTACAGGTGGCGAAGTACCTGGAAGTACAGGTGGTGGAGAGAGGCCTGTAAGAGAAGTAGATAAACATTCTGTTTCCGCGTTTTCTGTTTAAGGTGGTCAGACTATATGTTAAATGAACTGTCATGAGGCATTTTAAACTTTCTTACAGCTTTCTCAACCATTGCTGTGGTTAGAGTGTTTAAGTGTTTAACAGTAGTGAAATATTGAATGTAGGAAATATATAGCTGTAGAAAAACGGTTTAAATTTCATCTGACCGGTATACAGAACTTTTGTACAATTTATATAAATAAAAATGTAAATGTTCGTTTGTTCAAAATTGGTAAACTCCGAAAATTCTTCACTGATTGCTTTGAAATTTTGAAAAAAAAGTTCCATCTGCATACGGGCGTGTTTCTATATACCAATTATATAGATGTCACATCTGTGACAAGTAAAAACATTATTTTTTGAAAAACTGTATTTTTCATATGAGTTTTCATGTGAGGGAAATCTCCAAAACCTCTTTACCAATTGCTTTGAAGTTTTGACACATTGTTGAAGTCGAACATACGCGTGTTTTTATATACCTACTATATACTTGCCACACTTGTGACACGTAAAAACATGTTTTTTTTAAACAGCGCCATCTGTTGGACGTAAAAGCAATACACGCCGTAATCTCCGAAAGTTCTTCATCGATTGCTTTGAAATTTTTACGCAACATTGTATTCGAATATACGCATGTATTTATATACTTACTATATATATGCCACACCTGTGACAGGTAAAACATGCATTTTTTTTTAAAACAACGCCATCTGTTGGACGTAAAATACACACTCTCTGTACTAAATATGTTACAATACTACTGCAGTGTTTTCGATTGCAATGTTAAATTGAATTTTCATAGATTTCTATATATTTTTTTATTTTCATTTAATTATTTTGTGTGACACTGCGTTGGAACTGAGCTGTGTTGCTTACCAAATTGTTCATTTCGTGATTATAGTTTCTTTTATTTTTTAATTGTTTTTCATTTCGTCTTTTAAACTGTTCTTCTTATTTTTCAGTGCAATTTTCGGTGGACTTGAGCAGTATCGATTGATCTGCGTTTGAATTGAAATATTTCGTTAGTATTTTTTTTTTTTTTAACAAGAAAATGGACAACGTTGACCAAACCACACACTAGAAAGTAAAGGGACGAAGACGTTTCGGTCCATCCTGGACCATTCTCAAGTCAATCGACTTGAGAATGGTCCAGGACGGACTGAAACGTCGTCGTCCCTTCACTTTCTAGTGCGTGGTTTTGTCAACATATTTTAGCCACGTTATTGTGACTCCTCGTCTGTACATGGACAACGTGTTTATTTCCCAGCTGCAAATGTGCAACAAATAGCAATGAATACACCGGCTACTTCGAAAACTGTTTTCTTCATGTTATGTCAAAATGACGCGTTTGCAAAAATACTGTTGTATTCGGAAGTGCCTACGTATTACACATAGAATGCGGGTAGAAAATCGTTTGAACGATGCAAACGAGGAGAGCAAGTTGATGGACAACCTGGCATAATTCGAACAAACTACGATAGGCAGGCTGTACACCATGCATCCCAATCAATATAAATGCTTCTTTCTTCACATGTTGTTGGTAAAAGTGCCTGGTCCAACGTCTTTCCAGCAACTGAAATTTGACAATGGCGTTACACATGCCACTCTCCGTAGTGCATGTCAAGTTCTGAATTTATTGAAGAACGACCGACACTGGGATGTATACATTAATTTTTTTCAAGGATATTCCTGTGCGGGCCCTAAGCCTCTGGCTGGCCCACTAAGTGTTGCTTGTTTCTGTTTTACTTGGGCGGAGTATGAGTATTTATGACTCGTATGGTCACTTCAGTAAGATTTTGACATATGTGTTTAACAACTTCTGCTCTGTTGAATCTAAGTTGAAACCTTAATGCGTCTGTAACTGTGCACTGTGTTAGATAATGTTTCAGTGGTCTGTCGGACATTTCTCCACAGTGCTGACATTTCCTCTCATTTTCCGGAACCTGTAAGTTATTACCCATGCACATGGGTATCCAAGCCTGTTGTGATGTACGTGTACTTCTGTTGCTCTACTGCTCCTTTTCATCAAACTAAGTGGTTCGTAGTTGGTTGAATTCTTGTACCAACCCGCAGATCCTGATGTTGCAACTGCTGTGTTGTGGTCACTGTACATATTTTTGCACTGCTCTGTTTCTAATTACTTTCTTAATCTGTGATAGACTCTGTGGTATTTAAATGTCTACATTTCTTCTCTTAGTTGCAAGTTTTGCAGCTTCGTCTGCAATGTCATATCCTAATATTCGTACATGACTTGCCATCCAGTTGATAAGTACCTGTCGGCCTTGTCGTTTGAGTGTTTCCATTAATGACTTTAATGTATATATAAATATATAAAATACACTTTCTTTCATGTTGTCGTCTTTGACTAATTCCGCCTGTGTTTTTTTATTTTTTTCCCCATTACACTTACTCCTGTGTTCCTGCTCACATTGCAGCCATGTCTTACCCTCAGCCACGATCGGCCTCCAAATCAAAATTATTTTTTTCCCCATAAAAGTTGTTGGGACGGTGGCCCGGATCGTTGCCACCAATACCGCTAAGTGGCGCTCGCTGTAAAAGTTGTTCACATTATATATATAAATATAAAAATAGGTCGTCGAACACGCTAGCCAAAAAAATAATAATTCATCTGAGAATAGTTTCTGGGTCTAGAAGTTGCCTCTTGGTTATTAACTTCTCTCCCCAGAGTGATGTGACTCCCTTAACTATTCTCTCCGTTAATGAATTATCATTTTTAATTTTTTTATTTCAGTAAGTTCCTATATTAATGTTTGTGTTGTGACGGTGTCCCCCCCCCCTTATATTTCTCCGTCGCAGTGTTTAAAATAATTCATCAATTTATTTTGTTAGCAATGTTTGATAATTGTATAGATGATTTATTCACACTCCAGTACATCCTCTTGAGAGAATCATTTATTGTCACTTCAGTCACTTCCACTTGAGTGGAATGAATATATTAACACTTTAGTTGTTAGTTGTTTGCAATTAAATTTATTACATTGTTTCAATACATACATTATTAAACATGACCAGATGTTTTTACACAAATTATCAGCTTCTAGAAATGACTAAATTTGTAAGTTAGTAATTCAACTCTCAGCGATATGTATTAAAATAAAATTGTATTTATTTTAGTTACATCTTCAATAATATTAATCAATGTGAAAATTAAGGTCGTAACATTGAGCTCCGAGCAAGGTCCAGGAATCACTTAAGCTCTCCAGCGCTTTGCTTTTCCAAGCAAACGATCTATCAACCGCAATATGTCCATAATTAACGTTGGATGCATTTGTAAGAACACTGAAGGGACGACGTCCAATCGTTAGACTCCTCCCAGGGTTCGAAATCAGGTCGTAACATGCGATTGGAGGTGGCTAAGCATACCTACACAACACTGTGCTGAACATTATCCTGTGAACATTGTCATTGTTAATTGTTGAACTTGTCTAGTCGTTCAATGTATATATAAATTGTTTGAACAAATATGTTGTTCAGAGGATCCATATGAATAAATGTTTATATAAAAATATTACCAACGATACCCTTGAAACCTCCTTCCCGGAGCGCTGAGCCTAAAATCCTGGAGCTTTGCGGTTACCTGCCTGGGACGTTGGAACCACCTGCCTGCGGCGTTGGAACCACCTGCCTGGGGCGCTGGAACCACCTGCCTGGGACGTTGGAACCCCTGCCTGCGGCGTTGGAACCACCTGCCTGTGGCGTTGGAACCACCTGCCTGTGGCGTTGGAACCACCTGCCTGCGGCGTTGGAACCCCTGCCTGGGGCGCTGGAACCCCTGCCTGCGGCGTTGGAACCCCTGCCTGGGGCGCTGGAACCCCTGCCTGCGGCGTTGGAACCACCTGCCTGCGGCGTTGGAACCCCTGCCTGCGGCGCTGGAACCCCTGCCTGCGGCGTTGGAACCCCTGCCTGGGGCGCTGGAACCCCTGCCTGCGGCGTTGGAACCCCTGCCTGGGGCGTTGGAACCCCTGCCTGGGGCGTTGGAACCCCTGCCTGGGGCGTTGGAACCCCTGCCTGCGGCGTTGGAACCACCTGCCTGCGGCATTGGAACCCCTGCCTGCGGCGTTGGAACCACCTGCCTGCGGCGTTGGAACCACCTGCCTGCGGCATTGGAACCCCTGCCTGCGGCGTGGGAACCACCTGCCTGGGGCGTTGGAACCACCTGCCTGCGGCGTTGGAACCACCTGCCTGCGGCGTTGGAACCACCTGCCTGCGGCGTTGGAACCCCTGCCTGCGGCGTTGGAACCACCTGCCTGCGGCGTTAGAACCCCTGCCTGCGGCGTTGGAACCACCTGCCTGGGGCGTTGGAACCACCTGCCTGCGGCGTTGGAACCCCTGCCTGCGGCGTTGGAACCACCTGCCTGCGGCGTTGGAACCATCTGCCTGGGGCGTGGGAACCACCTGCCTGCGGCGTTGGAACCACCTGCCTGCGGCGTTAGAACCCCTGCCTGCGGCGTTGGAACCACCTGCCTGCGGCGTTGGAACCATCTGCCTGGGGCGTGGGAACCACCTGCCTGCGGCGTTGGAACCCCTGCCTGCGGCGTTGGAACCCCCTGCCCGCGGCGTTGGAACCACCTGCCTGCGGCGTTGGAACCCCTGCCTGCGGCGTTGGAACCACCTGCCTGCGGCGTTAGAACCCCTGCCTGCGGCGTTGGAACCACCTGCCTGCGGCGTTGGAACCACCTGCCCGGGGCGTTGGAACCACCTGCCTGCGGCGCTGGAACCCCTGCCTGCGGCGTTGGAACCCCTGCCTGGGGCGCTGGAACCCCTGCCTGCGGCGTTGGAACCCCTGCCTGGGGCGTTGGAACCCCTGCCTGGGGCGTTGGAACCCCTGCCTGGGGCGTTGGAACCCCTGCCTGCGGCGTTGGAACCACCTGCCTGCGGCATTGGAACCCGTGACTGCGGCGTTGGAACCCCCTGCCTGCGGCGTTGGAACCACCTGCCTGCGGCATTGGAACCCCTGCCTGCGGCGTGGGAACCACCTGCCTGGGGCGTTGGAACCACCTGCCTGCGGCGTTAGAACCCCTGCCTGCGGCGTTGGAACCACCTGCCTGCGGCGTTGGAACCACCTGCCTGCGGCGTTGGAACCCCTGCCTGCGGCGTTGGAACCACCTGCCTGCGGCGTTAGAACCCCTGCCTGCGGCGTTGGAACCACCTGCCTGGGGCGTTGGAACCACCTGCCTGCGGCGTTGGAACCCCTGCCTGCGGCGTTGGAACCATCTGCCTGGGGCGTGGGAACCACCTGCCTGCGGCGTTGGAACCACCTGCCTGCGGCGTTAGAACCCCTGCCTGCGGCGTTGGAACCACCTGCCTGCGGCGTTGGAACCATCTGCCTGGGGCGTGGGAACCACCTGCCTGCGGCGTTGGAACCCCTGCCTGCGGCGTTGGAACCCCCTGCCCGCGGCGTTGGAACCACCTGCCTGCGGCGTTGGAACCCCTGCCTGCGGCGTTGGAACCACCTGCCTGCGGCGTTGGAACCACCTGCCTGCGGCGTTGGAACCACCTGCCTGCGGCGTTGGAACCACCTGCCTGGGGCGTTGGAACCATCTGCCTGCGGCGTTGGAACCACCTGCCTGCGGCGTTGGAACCACCTGCCTGGGACGTTGGAACCACCTGCCTGCGGCGTTGGAACCACCTGCCTGCGGCGTTGGAACCCCTGCCTGCGGCGTTGGAACCCCTGCCTGCGGCGTTGGAACCCCTGCCTGCGGCGTTGGAACCCCTGCCTGCGGCGTTGGAACCCCTGCCTGCGGCGTTGGAACCCCTGCCTGCGGCGTTGGAACCCCTGCCTGCGGCGTTGGAACCACCTGCCTGCGGCGTTGGAACCACCTGCCTGCGGCGTTGGAACCCCTGCCTGCGGCGTTGGAACCCCCTGCCTGCGGCGTTGGAACCCCTGCCTGCGGCGTTGGAACCCCCTGCCTGCGGCGTTGGAACCACCTGCCTGCGGCGTTGGAACCCCTGCCTGCGGCGTTGGAACCACCTGCCTGCGGCGTTGGAACCACCTGCCTGCGGCATTGGAACCCCTGCCTGCGGCGTTGGAACCCCTGCCTGCGGCGTTGGAACCCCTGCCTGCGGCGTTGGAACCACCTGCCTGCGGCGTTGGAACCACCTGCCTGCGGCGTTGGAACCCCTGCCTGCGGCGTTGGAACCCCCTGCCTGCGGCGTTGGAACCCCTGCCTGCGGCGTTGGAACCCCCTGCCTGCGGCGTTGGAACCACCTGCCTGCGGCGTTGGAACCCCTGCCTGCGGCGTTGGAACCACCTGCCTGCGGCGTTGGAACCACCTGCCTGCGGCGTTGGAACCCCTGCCTGCGGCGTTGGAACCACCTGCCTGCGGCGTTGGAACCACCTGCCTGCGGCGTTGGAACCACCTGCCTGCGGCGCTGGAACCCCTGCCTGCGGCGTTGGAACCACCTGCCTGCGGCGTCAGAACCACCTGCCTGCGGCGCTGGAACCCCTGCCTGCGGCGCTGGAACCCCTGCCTGCGGCGTTGGAACCACCTGCCTGCGGCGCTGGAACCACCTGCCTGCGGCGCTGGAACCCCTGCCTGCGGCGTTGGAACCACCTGCCTGCGGCGTTGGAACCACCTGCCTGCGGCGTTTAAACCACCTGCCTGGGGCGTTGGAACCACCTGCCTGGGGCGTTGGAACCACTTGCCTGGGGCGTTGGAACCACCTGCCTGGGGCGTTGGAACCACCTGCCTGGGGCGTTGGAACCACCTGCCTGGGGCGTTGGAACCACCTGCCTTGGGCGTTGGAACCACCTGCGTGGGGCGTTGGAACCACCTGCCTTGGGCGTTGGAACCACCTGCCTGCGGTGTTGGAACCACCTGCCTGGGGCGTTGGAACCACCTGCCTGGGGCGTTGGAACCACCTGCCTTGGGCGTTGGAACCACCTGTGTGGGGCGTTGGAACCACCTGCCTTGGGCGTTGGAACCACCTGCGTGGGGCGTTGGAACCACCTGCCTTGGGCGTTGGAACCACCTGCCTGCGGCGTTGGAACCACTTGCCTGGGGCGTTGGAACCACCTGCCTGAGGCGTTGGAACCACCTGCCTGGGGCGTTGGAACCACCTGCCTGGGGCGTTGGAACCACCTGCCTGGGGCGTTGGAACCACCTGCCTGGGGCGTTGGAACCACCTGCCTGGGGCGTTGGAACCACCTGCCTGGGGCGTTGGAACCACCTGCCTGGGGCGTTGGAACCACCTGCCTGGGGCGTTGGAACCACCTGCCTTGGGCGTTGGAACCACCTGCCTGCGGCGTTGGAACCACCTGCCTTGGGCGTTGGAACCACCTGCCTGGGGCGTTGGAACCACCTGCCTGGGGCGTTGGAACCACCTGCCTGCGGCGTTGGAACCACCTGCCTGGGGCGTTAGAACCACCTGCCTGGGGCGTTAGAACCACCTGCCTGAGGCGTTAGAACCACCTGCCTGTGGCGTTAGAACCACCTGCCTGAGGCGTTAGAACCACCTGCCTGTGGCGTTAGAACCACCTGCCTGAGGCGTTAGAACCACCTGCCTGAGGCGTTAGAACCACCTGCCTGGGGCGGTTGAACCACCTGCCTGGGCCGACAGAACCTAATGGAAACATTTAGATGGAAACACATTAATTAATATATATAATTATATATATATAATTAATTAATAATATATATAATATATTAATTAATAACATATATAAATAATTATATATATATATATATATATATATATATATATATATATATATATATATATATATATATATATATGCGAACAAGCCTGAATGGTCCCCAGGACAATATGCAACTGAAATAAGAACATAAGAACATAAGAACAAAGGTAACTGCAGAAGGCCTATTGGCCCATACGAGGCAGCTCCTATTCTATAACCACCCAATCCCACTCATATACTTGTCCAACCCGCGCTTGAAACAATCGAGGGACCCCACCTCCACCACGTTACGCGGCAATTGGTTCCACAAATCTACAACCCTGTTACTGAACCAGTATTTACCCAAGTCTTTCCTAAATCTAAACTTATCCAATTTATACCCATTGTTTCGTGTTCTGTCCTGTGTTGATACTTTTAATACCCTATTAATATCCCCCTTGTTATGTCCATTCACCCACTTGTAAACCTCTATCATGTCGCCCCTAACTCTTCGCCTTTCCAGTGAATGCAACTTAAGCTTTGTTAATCTTTCTTCATATGAAAGATTTCTAATTTGGGGAATTAACTTAGTCATCCTACGCTGGACACGTTCAAGTGAATTTATATCCATTCTATAATATGGCGACCAAAACTGAACTGCATAATCTAAATGGGGCCTAACTAGAGCAAGATATAGCTTGAGAACCACACCAGGTGTCTTGTTACTAACGCTGCGATTAATAAATCCAAGTGTCCGATTTGCCTTATTACGAACATTTATGCATTGATCCTTTTGTTTTAAATTCTTACTAATCATAACTCCCAGATCCCTTTCGCAATCCGACTTCGCAATCACAACACCATCTAGCTCGTATCTTGTAACTCTATCATCATTACCTAACCTCAGAACTTTACATTTATCAGCATTAAACTGCATCTGCCAATCCTTTGACCATTTCAAAACCCTATCTAGATCAACTTGAAGTGATAGTGAGTCCTCCTCCGAATTAATTTCCCTACCGATTTTCGTATCATCGGCAAATTTGCAAATGTTGCTACTCAAACCTGAATCTAAATCATTTATATATATTATAAACAACAGAGGTCCCAGGACAGAGCCTTGAGGCACTCCACTTACAACATTTTCCCACTCTGACTTGATTCCATTTATACTAACTCTCTGTTTCCTTTGGTATAGCCATGCCCTAATCCAGCTTAATATAGCACCCCCAATACCATGAGACTCTATTTTTTTAATCAGTCTTTCATGTGGCACTGTATCAAAAGCTTTGCTAAAGTCAAGGTATACAACATCGCAATCCTTACCACTATCAACTGCCTCAACAATGCTAGAATAAAAAGATAACAAATTTGTTAAACATGAACGGCCATTTATAAAACCATGTTGCGACTCAATTATTAATTTATGTTTTTCAAGATGAAGACGAATTTTATTTGCTATTATAGATTCGAGTAACTTTCCCACAATAGACGTTAGGCTAATTGGTCGATAGTTAGACGCAAGTGATCTATCTCCTTTCTTAAAAACTGGTATCACATTAGCAACTTTCCAAAACTCTGGCACTCTGCCTGACTCTATTGATTTATTAAATATGGTTGACAGTGGGTCACAAAGCTCCTCTTTGCATTCTTTAAGCACCCTAGCAAACACTTCATCCACTTCAAAATAAACACGTGATTAAGAATGTGACAATGTCAGACCACGGAGGAAAATGAAACAGGAATTTCCTTAAGTACTTTCTGACAAATGATTTGTCAGAAAAAGCTCACCAAATTGATTGGGAAAGTGTTTCTTCAATAACAAATTGTAAAAGCACCTATAACAGAAACATAATTGAATCTGCTTTGATACAGATAACCAAAGAAAGTAATTTGAATATTAGCAGTGGTCTATATAATCTAGATCCATTTCTAATAGATCAGCTAAAGGGCGATTTAAGTAGAATCATTGAAAAACATTTGTCTCACTAATTCATTGTATATATTTACCTCTTTATGTTATAATTACCTATGTATTATGCTTGTATGTCTGCTGTATCAGATGGGCCATTGGGCTACATCGGATGGGCCAATTGGGTACATCTGATGGGCCAATGGGCCGTCTGCGGTGTCCAAGTATTGTACCTCACCTTATTTCACCACTTTCTCCTGCCTATTTATACCCATCACTCGATCTGTGAAATCATTCCTTCTGAAGATGTATTTAATATACGAAAGTACTTAAGGAAATTCCTGTTTCATTTTCCTCCGTGGTTTGACATTGTCATATATATATATATATATATATATATATATATATATATATATATATATATATATATATATATATATAATATATATTATATATATATATATATATATATATATATATATATAGATATATATATATATATATATATATATATATATATATTGTGTGTGTGTGTATGTGTGTGTGGGTGTGTAAATCACGAAAGTTAACATTTGATGAAAAATGTGTCTCTCGCATCCACACCAGCGCCCAACCGTCTCAGAAAGCTGCGTGTAAAATGTTGTCCGTGAGTTGTTAATTAAGAAGATTAAGTAACATTCACTCTAATTAATGGGTTCGTTCTCCGCAGCGAAGGATGCAGGCGACCAGCGGAGGTGGTGACGAGTGTGGCGTGCAGTCTTGATAATGGAAGAGTCCTTCACAAGGACTTTATCATGAGTCGCAGCCCCGCTCCTGTGCCAGGCAAGTCCACTACGGGCTCACCATATCCCGTCATTGACGCCATCTATATTCATCAACTTGTGTCATTGATATTCACTCAAGTGAACTTGACATCCAGCATTCAGCTGTTTGATAGCTCTCCTGTGACCCAGAGGGAAGATACCCGTCTCTTTAAACAACTATCACCTCTCCTAACTCACAACGAATACGGTGAATTCCTTCGCAAGAGCATGATCACTGAGGTGAGTTTAACGCTTTCAGACAAATATGAAATATTTATGTTCCCTGTACTATGTGTATATTCATAAAGATATCTCATTGCTGACAAACCTATCGAGTAATATGGAAAGACAAAGTAATCTAGAGTTTCTTCACCTACTAGATGGTAGAGGAATTTTTTCAAGGAAAAACTAGTAGGGTAAGGCTCACACTGAACTATGGGCAGGGAAAGCTCTCGTCCTGCTAACAGCAGTCGGAAGGCGTCTGCTCCATGAGAGAAATAAAATATATCGTTCTCATTCTTCCCCGCGCCATTATATGCTTAAATACAAAAACGGTTGGATACCTTTTATAATTTGTTATTCTGACACAATCACGAACGTATTTAAGCTCATACGTTTTCTTCAGATCATATTTATGTTTGATTGAATGTTTGCCTGAAAACATAAGTCAGGC